TGTAATATCGATATACCTTCCAAATAACAAAAGAATTCAAATTCTTTAAACTTAAAAACAGACACATGTGCTACCCAGTTTGACAATGAGATTTTACTGAAGAGCAGTAAACAATATATTTTAAAGCAAATAAGTAGTTTGAATATATTATTAAATTATATCGTATTATAGTACAGTAAAAGAAAATTATGAAATGTAAAATATGAAAATAAATACTACATACTTTCCTTAACATTCTCCCGCTCCAAAAACAAATGTTTTAAGAACAGCTGAAAGTATAAGTGTATATAGACATGAAAAGAGGGATATACTAATAAAGAATTAGGTAAGAATAAAATATGGATTGACAAATAAACGGCGGTCATATTTTGACCACAGGACATTGTTGGATGCCATCTGAAGCTGTGCTCAGATTAATAACGCGTACAATACCATCAGTTAAAACGAATAGCGTCGAATCAGTAGAATTTTTCGACCTACTAAAATAGGAAAGATGTGTCAAACAAAATATCGTTACCATCTTTACCTATAATAATTGTCGCATTTCAGCAAAGAATCTTCGACGACAGCCGGTGAATAATGATATTTTGACAAACTTCACGGTAGGAAAATGCCAGTTTGATAAAAATTGTAACAATTATGCTGGTTATAAAATACAACTAGCACAATCAGATAGGTTTTGATTAGAAGGCATATAATGCCGAGAGTAGAGCGTAGTATCAGTTTTTGCATGTGTTTAATACGATTAGCAATTTATGGTAGAAAAATTAGCTCTAGGGTGCGCAATCGCCGAATCAGAACCGGAAGAAGAACCCTTTGACAAAAGTGACTAGATCAGCCAGCAATATGGCTGTCAATAGCTCCAATCTTGTCGAATCGGAACGAGCATGCAAATTGGATGAGACTCGTTGACAAAAGTGACTAGATCAGCCAACAGTATAGCTGCCAAGAGTTCCGATTTTGTGATAGATGGGTCGGTATAAGTTCTTGCATGTGTTTAATATAATTAGCAATTTGTGGGTAGAAAATATAGCTCAAGGGAGCGCAATCGCCGAGTAAGATCAAAGACCGGAAGATCCTTAGAAGAACCCTTTGGCAGAAACTAGAATCTAGACTAGATCAGTCAGCAATATGGTTGCCAAAAGCTCCAATCTTGTCAAATCAGAACGAGCATGCAAATTGCATGAAACTCGTTGACAAAAGTGACTAAATCAGTCAATAGTATAGCTGTCAAGAGCTCCGATCTTGCAATAAATTGTCTTGTGTAGAAATAACACTAGAAAATGTAACACATACAAGTACAGAGGTCAGTTGTATCTGTTCAGATGTTTCAACATCACAGGATACATTGAAGTACCACAACGGTTGTAGAAGACGTTTGACTAGCAAAAAGACATGGAAATATAAAAACAAGAGTATAGAAAAAAATACTACTTATTTACGAATGAATAGCCCGCTTTGTGCAAGGTTTGTAAAAGGGACGAGAAGAATAAGAAAAGAAGTCAGTCGTAGGGTTCCATTTTAGGCCTAGCATCTTAACAGTGGAAGGTTCCTCTTTATCAACGAACAACATGTCAAAATGTCTGAGCAAAAGCCTGGAAAATAAGGGTAGATGGTTACTGATGTTGATTTGTCTAGCGGAAAACCATCGAGCTTTAAAAGCTAAGCGAGTGCTCACTGCAGAAGGTGAGTAGATAAAAGAGAACCACTTGAAGCATTATTATGACAGAAGACTGTCAAGATGGTTACTGGCACATTTCCTAGCGGAAAACCCATCGAGCTTTAGAAGCTGAATAAGTGCTCACTGCAGAAAGTGAGTAGATAAAAGAGTTACTCTTGTAGAGTTTTTAAGCGAAATAAAACGAAGAAGAAGTGCCGTAAGTAACGGTACGTAGTAAAAACTCTTGGAGAGGTTTAGAAAAATCTGATCTTCAGAGAACCCCTTTATAGTTCCAAAATTCCTTCTTTACTTTAATTTGTCGATACATTTGCTTTATATTGCAAATGAAACAACAAAAATATCGAAAATTAAGTAAAGAACGAGATGCTCTTTTGCATGCAAAAATTTGTTTTTTGAAAACTGCATGAGAGAAATAAGAAATAGTCGATTTAATTGGATTCAGGAACCGGCATCATATGTTGAGAAGTAATAAAATCTTCCATGAATGCAACATGTCTCTTTGAGAATCGGGAATTTCCTGAAGCGATTCTGTAGCATATAAAACGACGATGCATGAGAATAACGAATAAGTATCGATAAGAAAAGAGAAAAAAGATAAATAAAGAGGATTGGGTTGTAAAAACGGTGGAATAACAGACAATCGGCCTGTTAACTTTCAAAAAATCAACAACTTAGAAATATCCTTCACAAGCTTGGTCGTGTTGGGACAAAACTAATATTTTTAGACACGTTGAAAACTACCGCATTAGAAATATCCTTTACGAGCTTGGACGTAGCGGGACAAAACTAACAGGTGCCTACTGTTTTCGACTTCCCAAAACCTTTGTAGAAAAGATCTGTTTGTGCACATAGAACTAACGAAAAATGTGAAATAAATATGGAATGAGTCGTAGAGACTCGCCCTTATAGAACATAATTGAACATAGTTTCTAAGGCCACAGGGTGATTTGGTTCGCCCAGAATTTGATTTATAATTTAACACCTATGAGTATGTCTATAGGATCTAATTACTAAAATTCGTGATCTGGTAGATCACTGAAATAAAATTGGCTGTGAAGCCTATATCTAGCAAGATACGAATTCTATGAAAGTTTTGAAAACATATTTGATATATATCAAACATGTGGAAAGAAATAGACGAGGACATAAAATGTGGTTGGCTAAAGGAACAAGATTAATTTGACGGTTGGTTAACAAACGAAGAAAAACGCAATACTGTGATTGGCAAACCATACATTCGTCGCTGCGAATGAAGTGAAATCAGGCAGCGTACACAAGAATTATGTGCATTAACCAACAACAAAAGTTCTTGAAGCCGTTTAGTCATAAAAATACGAACATTTATATTAAGGGTGAAAACCAGAACACAAGACACCTTGATTATTTACCTTGAGGTGTTTTCTGGCACTGACGGAACTCGAGGTAACGGATATTTTATCGAAATATTAAAATAAGATAGCGATAATCGAGAGTGAGTAGCAGAAGACAATAAATTCAATTGAGACGAAGTTGTGAGATGTATGAGAATCTCGATAAATGGCTTCGATTTTCATATGCCCTGACTACGAATAATAATTAAATTGTATGGTTGATGCTTGAATGTGTTTCATAGGCCTCCTTTAATCTAGAGAATTAATTTGAGATAATATATTATCTCAAATGGAAGACCATAAACAGGTAGATGCAATATACATAGATGTTTCCAAAACATTTGATCGTAAATACTTTTGGGCAAATAAATTAATGTAGGCTTTCATGTTAGCTTTGTTGAATGAATTAAAAACTCTATATCTGGTAGAAGTCAAAGAGTCAAGATAGGCATTCATCTGTCTGACAGTATCCCAGTAACATCTAGAGTTCCTCAAGGTGGCCACAGTTCTTCACTTTTTAAAACTTTTCGCGCTATACTCGGCATTCTCTAGATTAAAGGAGGCATATGAAACGCATTCAAGCATCAACCATACAATTTAATTATTATTCGTAGTCAGGGCATATGAAAATCGAAGCCATTTATCGAGATTCTCATACATCTCACAACTTCGTCTCAATTGAATGTATTGTCTTCTGCTACTCACTCTCGATAATCGCTATCTTATTTTAATATTTCGATAAAATATCCGTTACCTCTGGTTTCGTCAGTGCCACAAAGCACCCTAAGGTAAATAATCAATGTGTCTTGTGTTCTGGTTTTCACCCTTAATATAAATGTTCCTACTCTTTATGACTAAACGGATTCAAGAACTTTTGTTTTTGGTTAATGCACATAATTCTTGTGTACGCTTCCTGATTTCACCTCATTCGGAGCGACAAATGTATGGTTTGTCAATCACAGTATCGGGTTTTTCTTCATTTGTTAACCAACCGTCAAATTAATCTTATTCCTTTAGCCAACCCCTTCTTCAAATACCAACATTTCTAATTTTGCTATACAACCACATTTAATGTCCTCATCTATTTCTTTCCACATGGTTGGAAACTTGCTAAGATATACATACATTATATACATATGTAGGTACACATATTTATGCACGCACTTACGTACATAGGTATTAATAAATAAAAAAAAACAAAACAAAATGCAAAAAGGAAGGGAAACATGAATTTGACTAGTAGGTATACTATATTACTCTGCACCATTTATTGTAACGATAATTAATTACATCTTTAACTACAAAAATTTTACGGTATGATGATTGAAAACGATTTTAGAGATTTGAGACGAATCTATAATTTTTTATTCTAATTAATGATGTCCATCCATTTTCATTACTTACCGAAATATATTAATTAATAAAAATGTTATTATACTGTAGGTATAATCAATAAAATAGATCAGTAGTCGCCAAATAATTTTATGTGGAAGAAAATTTGAACAAGGTCCAGAAAAAAAAAAAAAACAAATGATAACATTTAATGACAAGTTGTTTATTATTTTGGTACATTTTAATGATAAAACAAAAGTCCTTAAATTATTACAAAAAATTGCACCGACGCTCTTGAGCTAGTTGTTTGTGGTCTGGTTCTCGAGTTGAACAACAAATTCGAAGTGTATCTTCAAGGTGGGCGTCCGTTAATCAGGAGAGTTATTTGTTTTTCAAAAAATTTATTTTTGAGAAAGACATTTCGTACATATACGTTGAGCCAAACATAGTGGCCAAATTGATTGCAAGTTGTCTGCAATTTTCATATTTTGCTGGCACATGTTTGGTCCAAAATTTTTCGGCGGATACCGGTGGAAGTACAAATCTTCTTGTATTTCAATAATCTCCATTTGAAGTATTACTTTTGACAGATCAAACAGCTTAGCTGCCGCATCTGTCTATTCTGCCGCTGCATCAACTTCAAATGGTGATTTTAGAAATAAAGATAGTTTGCTTACCTGTGCAAAGTCTTGGAATCTTGAAGGAAATCCGTTCCTAAGATCGCACAGAAATTTTACAAACACTGCAATGTCTTCTTCAGAGTACTCCTTAGTTTTATTATATTCAAGAATAGTTGAAAAATTAATGAATTCTTGTTGTGCAATATCTTTTTCAAAGATATTCAGCTCACGACGAAAAGCAGACATGCTTTGTTTCAGATCACATACTAATTTTTCATTTCCTTGTGACTCTGTGTTAAGCGCATTCAAATATTTTAAAATATCTTTTAGAAAAGCCACAACCAGCATGTTGCGCCTGTTTGTTATATACTCAAAATGTGCCCTGGGTCCCTGCGTATCTATATTTTGTAAGAAGGAGATCATATGTTCTTTTATTGGCCAGAAACGTTCAATAGTTAACCAACGAGCATTATTGTGTTGTAGTAAGTCAGAATATGCTGAATCATATTCAGAAAGAAACTTCTTGAAATGCCGGGACTGAAGAACAGAATAACATCTCATAAAATTAATTAACTTCACTAAACTGTCCATGACTTCTTTAAATCTAGTACTAAGTTTTCCACAAAGGGCTGCCTGGTATATGTATTATGCACTGATATGTTATTAAATTTGAATTTTATACCTGATCCTCTGTACAGCACCTTTTTCTTTGCCAATCATTGCTGGGGCCCTATCAGTAGAAAGCGAAATCATTTTAATATAACTGATGTTAAATTTAGAAATTAATTCATCAATTACCTTGGATAGATCTTCTCCTCGAGTGCTACCTTTCAGCGGCAATATTGCTGGCAACTCTTTCCTAAAAATCTGACACTCACTATCAAGAAATCTTACGAAAACAGACATTTGTTCATCATCAACAATGTCACATGATTCGTCAAGTGCTATGGCGTAGCAAGGGTCTATTGCAAAAGAATAGGAAATAGTTTTTAATATCCGCAACTAAAATTTCCGTTCTTCGTGTATTACTTTGCGCGACAAGGAGATGCTTTGAATTGCTGAGTTACTACCAGCATACATTCCTTCACAATCTCAGAATCAGAAAATGGTTTTCGGTGTTTATTAAGTATCCAGCACGCACGTAATGCTGCCTCTGTGGATTTTTTCTTGATTGATTCAGCAATCGATATTCCACAGTTCAACCTTTCCGAATCCGGACCGCGGTCCGCCTGTTGCCGACCGTTGCAATAGATCATTAAATATTGTAAAGGTAAACATGACAAATGTATGTACTGAATAATATTTAATATCAATAAAATATTGTAGGTATATAGCAATAGATTGTTTATAAAGAAATGAAGGGATTGGAAAATTTATATAATAATAGGTATTGTCGTTATATGATTTATAGCGCGTATCTCTTTTACATAGGTAATCCATAACGATACCTCTTCGTTGTTCCCTGTCGTACAAATACTATAATAATCAATCGATTCAAAAAAATGCTAATTAAGGCACTTATTTATTTTCGTATTTCTTTTATTCAATAAGTATACTTTTTTAAGTATTTTTTTTATCCTAATTATGTGTTTACAGGTAGTTTATTTTTATTTATATTACTAACCTACTCTAAGGTGAGCACGAAATAATTGTGATGATAAGGCCTAGGTGTCTATATTCGTTACTAATAAACAGTAAGCAACGCTGTGCGTACTTATACCAGTGTGGCTCAGTTCCAATAGCATAGGTAATGCAGAAAATTAATTTATTTTTAATTTCATAAATTTAAAATATGTTATTATTTGGAGGACTAGGATAACGTACCACGCAATTTGTAGGACAATGTGAGGTGTTAAATTATATAAATATTACCTAACCAACAGAAAAAAATCGTTGACGTTCATGACCTCGTTAATGATACCTACATGCTGAAAAGTGGGACTCTGATAAAACCTTACATTTTGTAGGACAAGTATTTTTCAGTTAATTTAGATAATTACATATCTTGAGAATACCCAGTTAGTAATAAAATTTTGGGAATTATCAAATTAACATATTACATACCTACCTGCTACCCCTGTTAGCTACCACAAACGCAAGTTGTTATTAGGGCAAAAGTTGGGCGTCCTTTCAAAATGAAACTACTCACGAAAAATTAGATTATTTGCAATATAAAGGGTGAAACTGGACCTGAGATCCCGGACTAATCTACCGTAGTAACACACGACGTCCTATGGACGTCCAGTTTTGGTCCGGACGTCCCTGGACTTACGAAGTGGGACGTAATTTAATTAAAATCTTTTACTTGCTTGGTTTTCTTTTGCTATTTTATTTCTTTCTTTCGCACTTTGTGGTGCCAAGTTCATCGTATACATTTTTGAAGCACTGTATTACCTTAAACTTCACATCCATTTTAGCAACCTAGTATTTTTTAATATTTGGCCAATCTTTTTCCTGTCACAAAGGACCAGATATTTTCAACGCTTCTGTCAAATTATGCGGAATTCATCTGGATCAGCTGTTTCTTACACCTAAATGTTCACGCAAAATCGATCCAATGTTTTAAACTTGTTTAGGCTATTGTAGCTTCAATGAAGGAGTACTCCTTTTTTTGCGGGGCGAGAGGACGAATGCGTGTGAAGTAGAGGTGGAGTGTTAAAAAGCTGGGGTTCAGAAAGTGGCATGTGTGATATGGAGCGCAAAGAGCAATTATTGGCGAATAAAACTAAACAAGCTCAAGGTGTTACCAGCCATACTGGGAACGGCTCTTAATCAGCGTTTTTGGCTTGCAGTTGTTAGCTGTGATATTTAATGGGTGTTTCCAGTGTTGTGTAGAAGTTTTGCTAGATGGAATGAAACTTTTCTTTCAGGAACCCTGGTGAGTATTTTGCCCTCATGCCCTCGGCGATTGCATGGCGTCTTTACTTTATTTTATTTGTTTGGCTCGGTTGTTCGAGCCTGCAATAGTGCGAAGGATATATCTCCTGCTGAGGAATAGAATTGTCCTTAATCGGTGTTAGATTGGCTACCTGATTTATGTGTGCTGACGGATAGTATCTGCACCTTGTGCAGAATCTAACAATTTTCCTTTCAGTGGCCATGATGGTATTAATTTGGCGGGTGTTATGTGATGCACAGACGCATGCCGTGTATTCGATTATTGGTCTTACGAGTCTAAATCTCTTTCTTACTCTGTCTAGGGTGTTTTGTATGTCGGTTTTCCAGTTGAGTGTTCTGCTAAAATGAACTTTCAAATAGGAAACAGAGTTTCTGAAAATTAGGTCTTCTAGAAGGTTATCCGGTCATGAACATCACGGCAGTTGGAAGATTTGAATAGTATGAGTTGTGTTTTGGAGTCACTCTCCATTTATTGCACCATCTAATGACTGGATCTAGGTAGTTTTGCGCTCTTTCGAGTACATTTGTCCACGAACGATCTATACTGAGGGCGGGGATCTCAGTGTTGTAGACTGTATAGTATTGGAGCAAGACTTGAACTCTGGGGAAATCCAGCTTGTGGAGTAAAGGGTGAGGATAAAATGTTGCCAACTTTGATCCGGATCGTCCAATTAAAGATAGGAATTTACTAGTTTAACGAAAGGTGTGGGCAGTCTAGCAAGGTGTGAGTCGACCAGGTCTGGCTCACATAATGCTTTCTGGACGTCTAGGAATATGCCTATGGCGTATTTCCTTTCGTTGATTGTGAAATGAAAGTTGTTGCTTCAACCAATGCATTTTGCGTGGAATAGCCAGCCCTGAATCAGAATTGGTAATTAAGAATGGCGAAGTAAGCGTCTAGGAATTCTATGAGTCGTTCCTTAAGGATCCTCTCGTAGACTTTACCTAGGGTGCTCAGTAGTGAAATGGCTCTATACGATTCAGGGTTGGTTAGGGGTTTGGGAATCATGACTGTGCTGGCCAATTTCCATGAGATGCAAAAGTGTGCAAAATCGATTGCAATGCAGTCAGCAATATGCAAAGAGAAAGTTTTTCGAAACAAAAGATTTTGGTTTGCACTCAAGTCATTCATCACTGACGGACGTACGAAGAACGAAGGTCCAACGAAGAGGTACTACGCCTGATAGGTAAGGAGAGAGAGGTAGGAATAAGTATAAAGAAAAGAAAGTTGGAATACTTGGGTCACGTTATGAGACATAATAAATATAGAGTACTACAGCTGATCTTTCAAGGGAAAATAGACAGCAGAAGGGGTCCAGGGAGAAGACACTCGTGGCTCCAAAACTTGCGGCAATGGTTCGGATTGTCATCTGCTGAACTATTCAGATCTGCCGTAAACAAAGTCAGAATAGCCATGTTGATTGTCAACGTTCGGAACGGACAAGGCACATGAAGAAGGGCGTACGACCACGTAGATATGTAAACCAATTGTAAAATGCCGTCTCTGATGACGCTTCATTATCGAAAGTTGCCTGTAGCGATTCTTTACATTGTTATGGAGTAGGTCTTTTTAAAATCATTTTTACAAATACAGTGACGCCGTCTATTGTAACAACTGAAGAAAGCAAGTCTGGTACCAGTTAGTTTTTCCCTGAACATACTTTCTTACCATTTAATACTACCCATTGCAAGTTTTGAGATCATCCCCGGTGTTTTGCGTTCGTTTAGATCAGCATGAAAAATTTGTGTTGTTCACGTATAGTCTCACTATTACCTTGTCTTCACTTCATACTCTAATTATAAAATTTGAGATGATTTTGTTTGTAATTCTCAGTAATATTTCTTGTAAGGATAAAAAAGGAAATGGACTTAAAAATAATAATCAAATAGTACATCAAAGTTTTTATATCAATCTACACAGCTTTGTTTACATTCATACGCTTAATAAAAAATGCAATTACAATTTCAAAGGAGATAACTTAACGAATGAACTTTGTCTTAAAAAAACCAGCACACTACTTGCATAATTTAAAAATTATTAAGTACCAAGTACACCAAACTCGAGTTCTTAGATCCTCCCATAAGCACAAAGATGTAAAATTAATTGCTGCATAGATTTTATTTAAATAAATTGTTGAAAAAGACAGTTTATTTATCAAGTTTTTGGGACGATCCAAAATCATCGTAATTGGAACATATACATTAAGTACTGTACTGCCAGTTTCCAAAGACTTTCTCAAAACAGTGATGTAAGGTGAGGAATTGTAAATAATTTGCAGATCAAAACCCGAAGGGGACACATACAAGTTTTTTTTTTTTCAACATACAAAATGTAACATACTCGGTTGCATAAAACATGTTCACAGGTAAAATTGGTAGTACCACAATATAAAGGAATTTCAGTCAATGAGCTAAATACGAACTAAACTTTAAACTCACTTCTTTTGTATAGAAAACATCCAACACATAAGCTATTTCTAAAAGTAACTACCTAAGTGTTTAATGGAATAGAATAGTTATGTTAAGTTACACTTTAAATATCGTTTAAGCTATATTTTGGTGACACTTGGGGATAAAAATATAGTTAAATATTACCGTACATATATTGCATATTTTAAAACTCTTCCAGTACAATTTGCACAAGAAAACGAGCAGTAGGGATTAGCCTCAAACCTAATAATTCAAAGAACCGCGAAGATTAAAGTACGCGTGCGTTATAGACTGAACATTGTATTGTTATATAAACTAAGCAGGTCACCCCCTTTGTATTATCCTGAGGTGCGAACTAACTTCATACAATTATATGAGAAAATTAAGATAGAACTTAATAATAAATTGCTCCAAGAATATAACGCAACATTCGAAATTTTTATCATAAACCTCAAAAAGGAAAAAGAATCCATGAATAAATAGCAGCTCCCCTTAGATCTTTCATTTGTGGAACATAGGATCACGACAAAGTTCCACCATTGGTCCCTGTCAGTGCAAACACTTTCACTTTCCAGGTAGCCCATCGCCTGCTCTGGAAGTTCCTGTCTAAGAGGTTTTCTGGGGATAGTTCCTGGTACCATCAACTCTTCTTGATCAGAACTTGCTTGTTTAAGCGATATCTTTACAATATGTAACATTAAATCTGAACCAACCTTGATATTAGATGGTTGTAAGTTCCATATGGTATTTCAATGCAGAGTGCTAGAACCACGATACAAGATAGATATTTGAAAATTGACAGTCAGATGTATTTTTAAATGTATTAACTTGAATGCTTAACGCCCGAATGGTCAAGTTATCCTCACTAGTTCCTAAAATCGGAAAAAGGCTGTGACAGTCGATTTTGACAAGATCTTTATTTGCCAGTAGACATGTTAAAACACATGAATCTACCCTACAACTCACCTTATCTGACATGTACTGCACCACCAAATAGATTTTACGTTAAACGTGGTGTATAATATATGCTTTTATCCCTCTAAAAAAATGTATGGATGCAAAACCTAACTTAAAAGGAATATTTTATCATTAAATTCGTAGGTTAACAAACTTTTTGTGTTACATCCTGTATATCTAGTGATATCATCAGTATTATTGCTCTACGAAATGCAAATAAATACCTAAGTTATTGGTTTAAAAAAATACAAAAAACGAAATGCAATTTGTACGGATATATGCGTGTTTTAAAAAAAATGTATCCATACCTAAACAAATAAAATGATATCAGCGCTATGCTCTAGCTCTGCAAGAGTAGCACAAAGCGGAAAGTCGTTTTAAGCGTAAATACCAAAAGGAAATATAAAATACATTTTCTTAAATCACTGCAATTGGTCAGAGGTGGAAATAAAATAAGTCAATGGACATTGCACCCTCATTTTTCAATCTTAAATGCCAGCTTTCGATAGAACTTACACTTTTGTGCACATATTTAGTTCTATCTACTTATACATTAGAAATAAAACTGAATGAATGAAGATTTAAATAAATTTAGACGTATATTATTAACCTTGATGTAGGGATGTGGACTTTCACAGGCTTCAATACATTTTTGTTTCATATGTGGTTGTTTTATATGCTTCCTTTAGTTGTGTGATCCATAGTTTCACAAAATGACAAGGCTAAGCTCGAATAAGAAATATTTCTATATATTATTACCCAACTCTTGAAGATAGTGCCAACATCCTACTCCCTATTTTCATAGGCTTCTCCTTTTGAGTTCTAGATAAGTATACTGAAATAAGTTTATTAGTTTTTAAAAGAGTTTCAAAGAATTTATCCTCTAATACCGTCATAGGTAACTCATTAATTTCTCGGCAGCTGAACATATGATTTATTATTTCATTCTTATTCCTCAGCTTTCCCCCTATTTGGAGGTTGCTGTTCGCTACTCATTTCTGTTCTTCTTTGTTCTTGAAGATTTATTGTTTCATTAAATGATTCAAATAAAACTGATTGATGTACTTCAGATGGCAGAGGTCGTAATATATCATAGTTCAATCATACCAGAAACAGATTTTACAATTTTTCAATACAAACATTGGGATCACACAAATATATGGGTTGTTAATTCAATGACAACTGGGATAAGGTGCGAGAAGTTTGGTTAAGACCAGGTCAGAGCATTATTTAATACAGCATAACAATAAACATATTTGTGTAGTCAACTTTTACAGAAACACTTGAATTCTTTGATAATAAAAAGAGACATTGAATGAAACTCTATGTCTGATGCATATTTTCAGACTGAAGAATATTCGTCAATGATATGGAGTATGACACTTATAAAGGTCAAATTGCGCTGATGACGAGAGCATGGTATCTGAAGAATAAAATGTTATTGAACTGATCCACCTGGTTGATACTTACTCAATTGTCGATAAGTTTATAATCAAGTGAATATGTTATCATTATCTAAATATAAGTAAAGTCAAATATGATTCAGTACTGTGCCAACTTTGTGATATTCAAAATTTCTAGGGTTATCACCATTTGTTTATTTGAATAAACTTTCCTCAATTAAAACATTGCACATGAAGCCTGTGACCCATATCCAGGATATTATATATATAAAAATGCTACTTTTATTCATATAGTAAATAATTTATTAAACTGGTGGCCCCTTTATTTATGAAATATTTTGAATTATGTATTATCTGCAGTTTTCAATTAAAAATACTGACTTTTTAATAATTTTATTAGTTAAAAATATAAAAAAAAAACAAAAAGAAAATTGTCAAAATATACTTTAATGTTTTTCTTGTATTTGACATAAAATTTGAGAAGCCTCTGTTAATGGTAATTAAAAAATGATTATTAAAAACGCAGTTTCATCGAATAAAATAATCTCAAAATGTTGGATAATACTTTTTGATACAGTCTTTTTGAGATAAAACTAAAATTGAGTACAATGTCCATGTTGCTGCCTACATAAATTCCTTAAGATAGTAAATATTTCACACTGAGGTATATGAACATTTCTGCTTCAATTATATGATCATACCAAAATGGTAATGAATCATTTAAATACTATTAAATTTTATTTAAGATAAAAATACAAAAGAATCCAACATTAAATATCTAAAGCGTAAGTTCTAGTACATCCACTTGATTCCTATCCGAGCTTGCGAATCACCTATGTGCACTAACATTTTTAAACTGCAATTGACATCTCCCAACTGCCAGGTGCTGTTTAAAAATGAATATTCTGACGTTCAAACGGCGACAATATCAATTTTGAATTGATAAATATATAATAAGTTAACAAAAACATTTTTTTATAAATAACTGTAAAAATATGTACTTGTATAGTCTGACAGTTGGTAAGAAGGAATTCGTTCAAAAGTTATAGTGCTCATTTTTGATATAAGTTGATCGGTCGTCCGCAAATCGGCCGGGACAAATTGGTTATTCCATTCATTCATTCGCATTCATTTGGGAGAGACAAAACAGTTACAGAATATATTGTTACAGCTAGTAATAATAATAATAATACAGTATGTACTAGGATGGTTGGGGCAAGTTGTTTGTCTACTTGCCCCGCCCCCCTTTCACAATGTCTGGGCAATGCCCCGCACTACACAGCACTCAACAGTTCGATATATTGCCTCATGTGACATTTGCAAGTTATGATACATCTTGGTCTTCTACATCTTGTAATTGTTCTTTGTTTGCATCTTCACCTGAAACAAAATAGTTTTGTCATTGAAAATGTTTTAAAACAACTGAATCATTATATGATCAATGTGAATACAAGGACATAAAACATTACAACATAAGTTAATAATTCGCTTCATTTCATTTTGTATATATTGGAAAAATGAATATGAAGAAAAATAGTTAAGTTGGTTATAGTGAGCCTGAATTTAGATTTTTTAAAGAAATGTTTATAACTACTACATTCAGGTGGAAAAGTAAATGCAACAAGTTAATATTTTGCAAAATTGGTATATATTTTCATTTTATTTTAATTGCATGTACAGTTAAATACTTGCATTTTAGTCATAATACAGGATTAATTAAAAAGTTATATAACCGTTATTTTCAAACACTTTGGAATCATTTCACAACCAAATTCTTTCAAAATCACTATTTTGGTTAATTATATTACATTATAATTATTCTTTTACTAAATTTTGTTTTTTACAGGTCTCCATTTGTTTCGTTTTTTGTTAAATGCTATTTTTTGATGAAGCAGCTTTGCTTGTTATTCCTCGACCTACTACCAACACTATCATTGTGGAATGATACAAGTGTGGAAAACCACTCAAAAGCAGTTGCTGTTTTTATAATTATAATGTCATAGTTATGAATATGTTGCAAGAATCTTTCATGTGCATCACTTTACCACCAAAATGATATTTAAATGTTTTCAATAAATTGGTGGAAATAAGAGTAAGGCAAGTGGTGTAGAAAACACAAAACTACTGCTATTGATGACATTTCTTCACATTACAACTTTGAGAGATGTCATTTAATATCAATCCAGCAAAGAAAACAACTTCAAGAATTCTGAGGTACACATTTTTGGCCAGTTCACTGAAGGTTGAAGGAGTATGGTTTAAAAGCTAGCAGATCAACAAATTCCTACCACCAGAAAAAATTATAATTACCAAATATGCCTAATCCATATGATATGGGCGATATAATGGACTCGCCTTAGAAGATCATCTAAGTATTTAAAACTTTTTTGACTGAATGAAATAAGAAACAACAAAGAAAATTGGAAAAAAAGTTACATAATTCTCTTTTGGTAATATAGATGTCAATAATGAAAGGAATCTGAAAAATATATATTATATTATTAATAAAAAGGGGGGTTTTCTGTAAATTTTCCCAGAATTTTAAGTTAGATTCAAAAAATATTTTAATGTTGAAGAATCTCCAGAATATTTCACGTTTTTTGTCTTTTTTTTTAGGTATAGTTTAGGTACCAAAGCAACAGGTAAGTATACATATACAGAACTTAAATTACATGCTAAACGAATAAGTCTGTCAATAAACACAAAAAAGACTAAAAGCCAATCAGAGAGAGCAACACGACCCTACTGACAGAGAAACTTTAGAAAAAGTAGATAACTTCTTACATACAACATACTTTGCTATAAACCAGATATTTAAATCACTAGACATACATCAAAGAACTAAGATACAAATAGACCATAATCTGATTGATAATAAGCAATATGAAATACATAATATTATATATATGGGCCATGTATTTAGAACAGAAGATAGAAGAAAACAGTCTTAAAAAAAACTGTTGAAAGCAAGAATCCAGGTGAAAAGACGTATTAGAAGACAGAGAACAAGATCAGAGGATGATGTAGACGAGGACGCAAGAAATCATAACATACAGACCATAACGAATGGAGAAGTTTACTTAATGAGACAATGACTTGAATTGGGCTGTAGACTGATAGGATGGATAGTCATTTAGATTGACATTTTCATACTATCCAAAGTGCATTTAGCTTTAAATTATTTACATAAATTTTTAGGTCTATAAAAATGACTATTTACTTATTTTATTTAAGTAAATTAAGAGAATATAGAAATACTTACCATCTAATTGCATATCACTGGTCCAGAGAGTTAGATTGTCCCTCAAAAGCTGCATTATTAACGTACTATCCTTGTAACTTTCCTCGGAAAGGGTATCCAACTCGGCGATTGCGTCATCGAAAGCAGCTTTGGCCAAACGACATGCTCGGTCTGGACTGTTCAGAATCTCGTAATAGAAGACAGAAAAGTTAAGTGCAAGACCCAGTCTGATGGGATGTGTTGGTGCTAACTCTGTCATGGCGATGTCGCTGGCTGATTTATAAGCAACTAGAGAATGTTCGGCAGCGTCTTTGCGATCGTTTCCAGTTGCAAATTCGGCCAAGTATCTGTGGTAATCACCCTGTAATTAAATATTTAATATTAGATATAAAAATCATAATATCTTGTTCCTTTAATTTAACTTTATAAAATCAAACTAATTCCTAAAAATGTTTCATACCAACCTTCATTTTATAATAGAAGACCTTGGATTCTCCCGAAGAGGCGGCAGGTATCAAATGTTTGTCTAGTACTCCAAGAATGTCTGAGCAAATATCTCTAAGTTCTTTTTCTACTTGTGAACGATACTGGCGGATCATTTCTAGCTTATCATCAGTACCTTTTGATTCTTCTTTCTGTTCTATGGAGGAAATTATACGCCACGACGCTCTCCTTGCACCAATGACATTTTTATAAGCTACAGAGAGGAGATTCCTTTCTTCTACAGTCAGTTCCAAGTCCAGCTTCGCTACCTTCTTCATGGCTTCCACCATTTCTGAAACAAAATAATAGAATAGTTACGTTTCAGTCTTAGTTCAGGTCTTTCAATGGTGTACAAAAAATTCACAAATTAGTGTCCAAAGAAAGAATAGGAAAAATACGGAATCACCAGTAGGAGAGAAATATTACCTATTACAACTTTACCAATTATGATCAATGTTACCTTGTACAACAAAAAAATTACACAGTACAACTTTAACTACATTTTTTTTTATTTATTTAGTGTACGGCTTAGTACATGGAATAAATATATCGATAGTTGTAAAACGTAAGTACAGTATTTAAAAAACAAATAATATAAGCTTAGTGTATCTGCACATGCACCCCAGTTAGATTCTAAATAAGGTTATTTTTAGTACCTACTTATTTTTTGTGCAGTTATTGTAGATGTTTTTTAAACTACAGAGTCCATTGTAACTCCCAGATATTTTGGATAGGGATGGCAGGGTAGTGCTATGTTCCCCATTTTAAGCTCTAATTCTTGGTTTGCATTTTGGTTATTGAGATTGAAAACAGATTAACTCAGTAACTCAGATTAACAGAAAACAGTTTAATTTAAATTAGGTATTAACTATCAGGCACCATTTTGTGAAATATCAATATAATTTGTCGAGGAGGCTTGTTATGACATTTTGAGCAATTTGAAACTATGTAGCACTGCTATTATTAAGTCGTCAGCATAGCCAAACCTTTTTGCATCAGTGTCAGGTAGGTCCGACATATAAGTTGAAAAGTATCAGAGCAAGAACTGATCCTTGCGGTAGTCTATTATTTAATTTCCTCTGTTAGCTTAAGATTCATATTTCAGTTAACAATGTAGTGCAAATTCAGTGAATTAATGTAGTCTCCTGAGCAATATGTACGACGATGCCAATCAAAGTAAACGCCTTCATCTGTAATATTTTTGGTTAGCTGTTAGATAATATAGTCAAATCCTGTGAAAGAAATAAAAGTGGATTGATTAACAAAGTAGTGTCTGAAATTGTACTTATGTGCAATGTATCTCTTAAAAGCATTGAAACTTGAGGGAGAGTGAGTTTTAACAATACTATTCTGTGAAAATTCAATGCACTCGTTTTTTTTTGGACTAAAAAACATTATTTTTTTTTATCTTAAAAAAGTTACTACCGAAATAAATTCCGATGATTCAATACCACTACTCAACTACAAGGAGATTTTAGGGGGTCCAATATGTAATAACAACTTTAGAAACTATGCCATCAATTCTTACCGGCTAGTCAATAATAAGATAAATTTACATTCGAAGAGGGAGGGGAGAGATTTTTTGGCCAAACATATTTGTAGGCGTTGGTACCAGGAGCAGGGAATATTTTTTATCACTGGAAAACTTTTTCCCATTTTCGAAATTTGACACTAGATTAATTTTTTTGAAATGCCATACACTTTGGCTGGAGGGATTGACTGTAAGTTATTATATATTGTAGTATTGATTTACGAGGATAGATTGATATTAAACTAACCTTTGATAGATGGCACTACTTGATACCGAATTGGTTTTGGTGTTGATATTTGCCATTCATGGCATGGCGCCTGTCAAAATTTTAAGTTTTAAAAACAATTAGTTTGGTTTTTACATCCGCCAAAAGCAAGCAAATTTTGTGTTTTCGGGGAAATGGGAAAAGTCGAGTATCGTTCGGTGATTAAGTTCCTCCACAAAAAGGGTAAAACGAATGTGCAAATCAAAGCCGACCTGGACAAAGTTTATGGTGAGGTTGCACCTTCGTTAGCAACAGTAAAATTTTGTAAAGCTGAATTTGTTCGTGGTCGAACGAGTGTTTTTTATGATGAGCGTTCTGGGAGGCCAAATGAAGTCATCATTCCGGAAATGATCAACAAAGTCCATGACATGATTATGACAGATCGTCGAATTAAGCTCCGCGAATTAATAGAGGTCCTAAACATTTCCTACAAACGCGTACACAACATCATTCACCATCATTTGGACATTTGGGTACCATTTTGGTGCCGCGATTGCTGACAATCGATCAAATGCAAAAACTTGTGACCACTTCGAAGACGCTTTTGGCGATGATACGGCGCGATCCGAAGGATTTTTTTCGCCGATTTATCACCGTTGATGAAACCTGGGTGCATTATTACACACTGGAAACCAAAGAACAGTCGAAACAGTGACGCAAACGCGGCGAAGGGCCCCCGAAGAAGGCAAAGAGTGCAAATTCGACCGGCAAAGTGACGGCGACTATATTCTGGGATGCGAAGGGTCATCCATATCGACTACTTGGAAAAAGGAAAAACAGTCAATGGTGAGTACTACACAGCATTATTGGATCGATTCGATGCCGAATGCGTCGAAAACGCCCCGGTTTGGAACGCAAAAAAGTACTCTTTCACCAAGACAACGCACCGGCTTACCGATCGGCCGTCGCCTTAGGAAAATTACACGAATTGAGCTATGAATTGGTTGAACACCCACCGTATTCCCCAGATCTTGCCGCCAGCGATTTTTTCCTTTTTCCAAACCTAAAAAAAAAAAATGGCTCGGAGGACGCCGTTTCGTAACAAATAATGAAGTCGTCGCTGAAACTTCGGCCTATTTTGAAGAGCTCGAGCAAAAGTACTATTCGGATGGGATAAAAAAATTGGAACATCGTCTTACTAAGTGTATCGAGCTAAAAGGGGACTATGTTGAGAAATAAATCAATTTAATTCCAAAAAACTTGTTTTTTCTATCAAAGACTAGTTTTATATCAATCCACCCTTGTATATGTGATTCATATTTGGGTCAAATAACCCCCTAAAAATGTGCCATGGGCTTTGTAGTATATAATATTAAAGTAAATGAATATTAAATTTCCAAAAAAGACATAGGGTCAGTGTACTTATACACTTATGCACATAGATAATGGCCACTTTAAGATGTTAAGAAATGTTTATCTTAAATAAATTATTTAAGATTATTATTATTTTTTTGTATGAGTAACAGGAAAATCCATCCTAGATTAATTTATATCATTCATATGGTGCAAAACTTCTCAGCTTATTAATATCCACATGTTCAGCAATAGGCCAATACTTAATTGACAGTCTTCAAAACATTTCAGTCACTTTTTGAATTCACAGATTGCCTGGGACGACCGTCAACTTCAACATCCCCCTTCCTTAAAACATCCTTACAATTCTAAAACTGACACGGATAGGTAACCATATCCCCAACCCTCTTCAAAGTTACATAGCTTTTTCAAATGACTTGTTAAGTTTTAACAAAAAATTTAGATTTACTCTTATCAATTTTTCTCCAATGCTGTCAAGAGGCTTATTGTTTGGACTGTTTGAAGAAATCAACAACATCAGTACTGACCAAAAAGCAACTGGACACACTTCGGAAGGTACTTATAGTAGCTATTTAAGCGAAGCTGGGAAAGACTTGCAGACAAATTACTAGTACGAAGTTGCTTAGACATCACACGCCAATATCTTAATTGAAATTATGCCTAGTTTCAAATTGTTATGTTAACGGATTAATGACAGTTTTGCATACATTTCCGGATAACATGAAGAGCATTGGAGGAGAACCAGTGAAAAATTTATGGGATTAACTTAGTAGATCACTTATTTATTTGTTAATGATCTTAGTCATGGATGGTCACTTCTTAGTCATGTAGGACAATCGCTAATGGCATGTGCTGGAATAACAATGAAAGGTCATACTAAGATGGATTTTGTTTACGATTGATCATGAGCGCTGCAGAGATTTATTATTGATACTCTGACTACTTTGTCCCATATTCATTTAATATTTATTTATTTATATATTATTTAATAAAAACATTGACAAAATAGAGGAAGCAATAACCGGTATTAACAAATTGGTTTATCATTTTTTTATTAAACAGTTTGACACAAATTTAATTTTAATTTTTGCCCTATGATCTATATAAATTATGATTTATTCATAAATCTAAAACTCACCAACATGCTAGGCAAGCACGGTGTTTAAATGCCAAAAACCCAATCACTGTAAACCAACCCTATTCAATGATTGTCAAAAAAATAAACCTCAACATCGCCACATATAATGCTCGGTCACTCTCTACCGAAGAAAGATTCGAAGAAATGGAGGAAGAACTCTCAAAAGTGAACTGGAATATTGTAGTTATCAGCGAAGTTAGAAAAAAAGGGAGAGAGTCTTACCTCACTCCCATCAGGCCATTTATTTTATTACAAAGGAGAAGAGGAATCGACAGTCGGAGGCGTCGGCTTCTTTATTCACAAAAGAATTGCTAACAGAATTGTGTCAATAAACTAAATCTCAACAAGAGTGGTCTACTTAAACATCAAAATAAACGCCAGATATATCCTAAAGTTCATTGAAGTGTACACCCCTACTACAGGACATCCAGACGAAGAAGTCAAAATATTCTATGACCAAATATCCTGTGCAATCAAGGAAAATCCTGGCCACTTCTTAATAATAGATGGTGATTTCAACGCCAAAATAGGCACTAGGAAGAGCCCTCTGAAATAATATTGGGAAATTTTGGAAGTGAAGGCAGAAATGACAGAGGCAAACAACTACTGACTTTCCTTTTGGAAAACAATCTCATGAACTCAAACATGAATCAAATGAACAGCTTCTTTAAAAAGAAAAAACACAGAAGATGGACATGGGAAAGTCCTGATGGAAAAACAAGGAACAAAATCGACTATTTCTTAACAAACAAAAAAGAATTATTTAAAGACGTAAATGTGCTAAACCAGTTCAGTACAAGCAGTGATCATAGTTTAGTAAGAGCTAAAATAACGATATCAACCGAAAAAGAAAGACTCAAAATGATAAATAAGAAACAACCAAAGAAATGGACAAAACCAATTAACATTAAGGAGTTCGAAAAATATATTGGTAATTCATTGAAAGATACAACAACAGCAGACATCAATATATTGAACAAACAAACAGTCAACACAATGCAACAGGCTCAAACTAAACATTGTCCGACAAGCAAAAAAGATGAA